CCTTCAGGAGCCATAGTGTTGCAGACTTTGAGGTGTAATAAATAACTTTATGAAGGGATTGTTCTGAGAAGAACGAAGACTTGGCAGATCCTATAATCCACTCTGGCTCTTATGCCATGCTGATACAACCAAAGGATCCAGTGGATAGGATAGAATCTGTTAAGTCTGAGAGGAGACAATGAAGTCTCTGTAGTGACCTTGTTGAGTAATAATTGAAAGAGAACAAGATAATTTGAAAGATAGGAGTACAGGAGATTAAATAGAAATCTAGCTAGCCATGTACTCTGAGGGGTACATTCCCTTATTAACTGTATTGCATAGCTACACTAACCGCGACTATTGCTATCCTCGACAGTTACCATGTTGTAGTGAAATAACTGTCGTGCGGTTACTGGATCGTCAAGGGTCACGACCGTTGACTTCCTCAGACGATTGACCTTCGGGTGACCCTCGACATTCCGCATGCTCTATATGAGCTATTGCGGTTTTGATACAGTGGGCAGCTTCGGGAATGCTTTATATAACCTTATGGTTGTTTCAACATACGCGCTGAGCAGGGTTCGCGAAATAAGGAGAAGTTTTCCTTATATAGTTACACGTGTGACTATTCGCAAGATTTTTAACCTGTTGGAAGTGACTGAATCCGTGACCTCACTTTCCGAACCCGTCAGCAAACCCGATACAGATGTTCTTGCTTAGAGTCCCAGTGAAAAACACACGCGCTGCGGGCCTTTGTGGAAAACCCTTCAAACCCCAGGCAAACGGGACTCTATAGTCCCATATTCAGTAAAATTGCATGGAAATTGTCAGAATCCCCGCCACTAGACCACTGGGATAAAATGGCTTGTTAAGTAGCGGGTCAGTGCGTCCATAACCCCCCAGGCTAACATGCCTGTAACCCTTCCCTAGGATCAATCAGGGATCACCAGTGGACCTCTGACACCCCTCCGCACTGGGATGCCCGAAGTGCACACACTGGGATTCGAACCCGAGACCTTCGCTCTGATACCATGTCAGAATCCCAGCCACTAGACCACTGGGATAAAAGGGCTTGTTAAGTAGCGGGTCAGTGCGTCCATAATCCCCCAGGCCAACATGCCTGTAACCCTTCCCTAGGATCAATCGGGGATCACCAGTGGACCTCTGACAGAAATTGGTTTTACTTCGCTAATAGTTGTTGTTTCCTGTCATATATGTACCAATTCGGAATGCGCTTGATTTAACTTCTTGTCGCAAGAATTTTCCACGTTCATCAGTGTTGCATGACTGACGCGCAGAATAAACAACATCGGTTAGGTTTTAGTGTGACAATAGTAGGTAGAGTGTGAGGAACCATAGCTAGGGTTTAGCTAGCTAGGCAAGGGAGAAATGAAGAAAGGAGGGGTTTCACTAGCAAGAGTTGGGATACATATAGCAAACCCTAACAGGGTTGTACTCGCTATAGAGCACCTCACTACAGGCTAGATAATAACATTCTGACATTTAGGAATTAATGAAAGGAAATATAGTTTGTTTTTCCCTGTACTCGTCGAGCGCGCTGAGTAACGCTCGATGGGATTTAGAAGTAAGCGCGGTCAAGATAAAAAATCAGAAGTAGTTTTAAATGTAAATGTCAAAACAGAAATTCCTTCCCTCACAATTTCCGGGTCGGTTCGATTTGGGCCTTCTGATTGGCTACGGAACTGATCCGCAGTCAAGCTGCAAAATTTCCCGCCAACAAGGGGACTGTAGAGGAGGGGCTTCACATAGGACTTATATGAAAGATCTACAGAACATCTGTACAGCGACCGTACGCGTTACTTTTGTACTATTCGCGTTATCGAGTCCCATGTTGGTTACTTTTCCCCAAAAAAGTGATATTCTTGCACTCGGACGAGGCATGGTTCCGAATGGCAATTCGGACAGTCCGGCACCAAAGAAGTGAACCGTCCGGAAAATTGCCAAAAATCACAATGGAGACACGCCCTAAAAAGCGGTTCTAAGGGCGCTTCACCTGTCGGTTCGAACAACACACTCGTTCGAACAGGCGAAACGTTACTCGTTTCGTCTATGTTCGTAGTGGTTTTCGTGACGTCGCGAAGCACAATTTCGCCAATTTGAACAGAGCTGTCACCTCAAGCGCGATTTTCATCATCCCGCACGTTCGAACACGTGTGTTCGAACAGGTTGGGATAGGTGACACACAATTCCGCACAAACGACTGATATGATTGGTCCACAGTCTTCCGGGTCGCCCATGAACGTTTGCGACCCGGCCAGACGTCGCCAATGTTTGGGACCCAATGTTTGGCGACGTCGCTCTTTTGTGGGCGACGTCGCTGTGTTCGAACAGACCGCGTGTGCGAATAGCGATGGCGTCACCTGTGATGGCCTGTGTCACATTCGCTCATTGTACGTATTTGTGTTCGAACTCATTTGGGATACTGTTCGTACAGTCAAACTGATACGTCGGTTCGGATTTTGGCCTTCCGCCCCTCAGGTGAAGCGCCCTAAGTACGAATTCGAATTTGAGTCGGATCGGATTTCTTTCATTCCTGTGTCTCGCGGAAAAAAATCCCTTAACTAGCCACTCTAATAACGACGTTGAAGCAGTGGCCATGGCGGTCGCTATGTCTGCTCGGGTAGTCGACGACTTTCCTCGAGTCGACTCGCTGACGCTCGAGGAGCAGGTGATTCTGGGCTCGCTTTCGGCTTGTATATATCAGGAACTTGTTTCCTCTCCCTACTTGCGGTTTCGTTCTCCAGGGTCCAATGCTGCTAATTGAGCGAAATAAACTTTTGTTTTCTTCGCCATGTCGTTCGTGCCGTGTCTCGTCCTGTGAAGCCCTATTCTCTTCGGCTTTTAGATTCGGGTTAGAATCGGGCATGGCAGCATGCAGATTGGACTCGCCTGCAAAGCAGATCTCAAACAGGTCGCCGCTCCTGTACTCGTTCGCACTCGCTTGTACTCGTTTGTAGCACCAGATAGGTACTGACAAATTAATCAGGCCACTTCCTTCACATCCACTAACCACTATAGCCAGGAGTGATAGTGGCGGCGGCATCACTGACGGTCACGAAGCCGAGAGGCTTCGGCTCATCGCCGTTTTCCTCCCTTCTCTCTCCTCTCCGACCGAACCCGCCTATCCCTCTAGTAGCGCGCCCGTTCCTTCCCCCTGCTCCCCATTTTCTCCCAGCCTGCTCCCGCCATCCCCCCTACAGGAAACAGCAGCACGTGCGGCGGTGCTGGCGGCGCTAAGGGGCTTCCCCTCATCTCTCTTCTCTTCTCCCAGAACCGCATATCCCAAACACGCTCTCATCCCTTTCCGTCGTTCCCCCCATCCCCCACACAGGAAACAGCAGCATGTGCGGCGGTGCTGGCGGCGCTAAGGGGCTTCCCCTCATCGCTGGTGGCAGTCAGTCTGGTGAACGAGAGGGGCATGCGCCGGGCACGTGCCAGCATCGTCTCGGAACTGCCTAACCGCCTGGACTACAATGTTAACGTGCGTGCGTGCTCTACAGGCGTTTTGAGATGTCTCAAACTTCGCGTGCATGTGTGTACTGTACTCTTTTGTGCATGCATACGCACTCCGCATGAGAGCTTGCGTGCTTTATGTGCGCGCATGGTGCGTGTTTCGCCTAAAAATACGCTCTCCACTGAAGCGATCATCGGATGACAGAGAAGTGTTTAAGATCAAATTTCCAGTAGCTCGTGTGTATGTATAGCCCCTCATCCCCTCCTCCTTCGTCCCCCACTCTTCTCACCAGCCGGCTGTGCATGCTAGTCACCAGATAATCACTTTTCATCACTTCGCAGGGTGTTTTCAATATCACTTATAAACAATGCCGATCAAGTTTGAGGCAGATTCACCATCACCTCTTTTCTGCTCCCATTCGTCCCACTCCTCCCTCCTCCCCCTGGCCCCATCTCCCACTCCTCCCTCACTGTTCGAAGTAGTTATTTGAGACGTCTCGTGTTTGATTTGAAGTAGTGTTTTGAGACGTCTTGTGTTTGATTTGAAGTAGTGTTTTGAGACGTCTTGTGTTTGATTTGAAGTAGTGTTTTGAGACGTCTTGTGTTTGATTTGAAGTAGTGTTTTGAGACGTCTTGTGTTTGATTTGAAGTAGTGTTTTGAGACGTCTTGTGTTTGATTTGAAGTAGTGTTTTGAGACGTCGTGTGTTTGATTTGAAGTAGTGTTTTGAGACGTCTCGTGTTTGATTTGAAGTAGTGTTTTGAGACGTCTTGTGTTTGATTTGAAGTAGTGTTTTGAGACGTCTTGTGTTTGATTTGAAGTAGTGTTTTGAGACGTCTTGTGTTTGATTTGAAGTAGTGTTTTGAGACGTCTTGTGTTTGATTTGAAGTAGTGTTTTGAGACGTCTTGTGTTTGATTTGAAGTAGTGTTTTGAGACGTCTCGTGTTTGATTTGAAGTAGTGTTTTGAGACGTCTCGTGTTTGATTTGAAGTAGTGTTTTGAGATGTCTCAAAACACTACTTCAAACACATGGCTATTCGTCCCACCCCTCCCTCCTGGGCCCCATCTCCCACTCCTCCCCCTCTCCCCACCAGACGGACTCACAAACACTGCTTCCTTCATCTCATCACCAACGCTGCTCTCCTCATCCTCTTTCCCACCATTCCCTTACCCTCCCACCCCCCACCCCGCTCCTTCCCCTTTCCCTACTAGGCAGACACACAAGCACTGCTTCCTCCCATAACGGACGCCGCCGTCCTCCGCCACTTCACAGAGCGTCACGAGTCCGTACTGTCACTCTCTGCCAATAAAGTTAAAGGCACATTCTCTGTCAAGTCCTCCCGCGCACGCTGCTTCACAACCATTCCCTCACACCCTCCCCCCCCCCCACACCACCAGGCGGATGCTCCTCTTCTTCTCATCACCCCCGCACCGCCCTCCTCCGCTACTTCACAGAGCGCTACGACGAGTCGACACTGTCACTCTCTGCCAATCAAGTTCAAGGCACATTCCCGTTCTCTCCCTCCTTCCCCTCTCCCTCCCCTTCAGGCGGACGCACAAGCACTGCTGCCTTTAATCACAGACACCGCCCTCCTCCGCCATTTCACGGAGCGTCACGAGTCATCTCACACTCGCGCTGCCATGCTCTGCACGTCGCTGCCAGAGCCGCGAGGCCTGCCTTTGGAGCAGCAGCACACGAGCCAGTGCCTTCAGGCCCTCGCCCAGGCCACCCGCGTTTTCCTTGATGTGAGCCCATTGTTATGTGAGCCCACCGTCCGTGTCAAGTTATGAGACGTCTCAAAACCCATTGACTGTGTGAGTCCACCGTATGTGTCAAGCTGTTTGCCTTATTTTTTCTTATGTATCAACACCCGTGCTTTGAGCTTTGAGATGCATGCATTAGTGCCAGTGGCACTAATTTGGGATGCTCCCATTGTGCATTCTTATGTGCAAACAACCCTTTTTTATGCTTTGAGATGCATGCATTAGTGCCAGCAGCACTAATGTGAGATGCTCGCATGCTGCTCCGTTATGTGAGAATTCTCAAGCGTAATTCTTGAAAAGTATCAATCAGTGTTCCTTAGCGTCATCACATGCCATGCATCTCTCAAATCCGCCAAGCACCCACGGGCCATGCTGCTATGCTGCCATGCTTGTGTGCAAGCAGAAGAGCCTATCGCGCTGACCACCCTCACTTTCATTGCATACATCTATGCTTTTTTTAAGCCAGGGTTTCGCGTAAGCAAAGGAGCCATCAACTGCAAAACAGTTAAAGCTAGGTTACCTAGTTAGTGCAGGCGAAGTTCTCCCCGGTTGGGTTGGAAACTCAGGCCATCAACTGCAAAACACTTGTAGTATGTGAGAGACCATGGTTTTAATATGCCAACCTATGCTACCGCATCCCACCGCATCTCACCCCATGCTATCCCATGCTATGCTGTGCCTGCCACCGCACACCACCCCTCCCATGTGTCTACCAGAACACAGCCATGCTGTTGTGCAAGCTGGAGAGTCAGTGTGAGAGCCACAGCATGAGGTTGCTGGAGCTCAAGCGGTGCATTCAGGTACGGAGTGGTGCAGTTGATATACAACGATGCAGTTGGTATATGGTGGTGGAGTCAAGGTATAAAAAGGATCTTTCAATTATGAAGTGTCATGGTCAGCAAGTTGTTTTTTTTGCAAATGTTCTTTCTTTTCACTGTTCACCAACACATAGTGCACGGTGCCTATGATACTATCCCCAATGCCCCCGCCATACTTATTCTAGTTCTGGCATCTATCCTTTCTTTGCAAAGCAGCCCTTAGTGTAACAGAGTGAAGGGGGGCAACAAGTGTGCGTGTGCCTGGAATGCACCACTGAGTCTCTCTCTCTCCTCGCAATGCTGCACGCAAACTCCCCAACGCCCCTCTGTATGCTGCCGTGTAGCCCATAGCAGCCGGAGTGAGGGGTCAGCAAGCATGAGTGTGACTGGATGTTACCAATCTCTCACTCCATGCATTGCTGCGTGGCACCCTCCCCCCCGAATGCCCCTCTGTGTGTATGCTTCCCCACACTCCATAGCGGACGGACGGAGTGAGGGTGCTGACGCCCATCGTGAGAAAGGTGGAAGCTTTTTCAGTCGACTCAAAAACCAATGTTCGCCCTTGAATTCCCCTCTATGTTCCGCCCCACAGCCCGTACCGGACGGAGTGAGGGTGCTCGCACCCACCGTAAGAGGGGCGGAGGATTTCTGAGTTGACTCAGAAGCCAATGCTTCCCCCCCCTCCAATTCTTCCCTCTGTGTGTCTCTCACGCCATTGTGAGCGGCAGGGTCTTGGATCTCTCACTCTAGGGATGAGCAAGGTGGCGAACACCTGTTCGGTTCGCCTCGAACGTGTTCGAGGCGAACCGAACAGGTTTTGTTTTTTAGCTCAAATCGTTCGCCGAACAGTGTTCGATGTTCTCCCGAACACGTTCGTGTTCGGGCCGCTGCTGAAATTTGCCCGCGACGAACACGAACAGTGTTCGAGGTTCGCCCGAACACGCCTCCACAGGCGAACAGCGAACACCTGTTTTTTCCTAAACTGTTCGCCGAACCGAACAGTGTTCGGTTCGGCAAAAGAGGGTGTTCGACAAGGGGCGAAGACGAACATGTTCGTGTTCGCCCTTTGCTCATCCCTATCTCACTCTATCCCTGGCAGCTCAGTCTGTGCAATCTTTTCCCCCCATGCTTCACCCTCTGTGTGCTGCCGTGCCCCACAGCCCGTAGCGGACGGAGAGAGGGTTTTTGAACCCGTCGTGAGAGTGGTGGAGGATGTCTGAGTTGACTCGAAAACCAATGCTCCCCCCCCCCCCCCCCCACCAATTCTTCCCTCTGTGTGCTGCCCCACAGCCTGTAGCGGACGGAGTGAGGGTGCTTACGCCCATTGTGAGAGGGGTGGACGATGAAGGATGGGGATCCACAGAGGTTCTTGACATGCTGCATGCAGCGGTATGGAAGAGTGGTGTGCGTGCAGCGGTAAGCAATGGTATGCAATGTTGTACAGCGGTTTGCAATGATATACAACAGCGGTATGCAATGATTTAGAACGGTATAAAATGATTTACAGCTGTATCCATGGGTATGGAGCAGTATGCAATGGTTTGCAGGGCTATGCACTTGGCATGACGCATGCAGTGGTATCATGAAGAGAGTGTTATGCAGCGGTATACAGTGGTATGCAGAGATTACTTCACAGATACATCAACTTCAATTTAAGAATTCCCCTCGTTCTCTCCCTTCTCGTTCTCTCCCTTCTCGTTCTCTCCCTTCTCGTTCTCTCCCTTCTCATTCTCGTTCTCTCCCTTCTCGTTCTCTCCCTTCTCTTTCTCTCTTTCCCATTCCACCCGTCCGATTCCCTTCCCACCTCTAACCTCCGTCCGACTCCCGTCCCTTCCACCCACCCCCCTTTCTTCCCAGTCCACCCGACCAGATGTGAGGGAGGCGGAGGGGCTTATTCGTTTTGTGCTGCAAGCCACATGCGCCCCCTACCTTCACCTTCTTTCCTCGTATGTCCCTACTGCCTCTCACATGCGCCCCCTACCTTCACCTTCTTTCCTCGTATGTCCCTACTGCCTCTCACATGCGCCCCCTACCTTCACCTTCTTTCCTCGTATGTCCCTACTGCCTCTCACATGCGCCCCCTACCTTCACCTTCTTTCCTCGTATGTCCCTACTGCCTCTCACATGCGCCCCCTACCTTCACCTTCTTTCCTCGTATGTCCCTACTGCCTCTCACATGCGCCCCCTACCTTCACCTTCTTTCCTCGTATGTCCCTACTGCCTCTCACATGCGCCCCCTACCTTCACCTTCTTTCCTCGTATGTCCCTACTGCCTCTCACATGCGCCCCCTACCTTCACCTTCTTTCCTCGTATGTCCCTACTGCCTCTCACATGCGCCCCCTACCTTCACCTTCTTTCCTCGTATGTCCCTACTGCCTCTCACATGCGCCCCCTACCTTCACCTTCTTTCCTCGTATGTCCCTACTGCCTCTCACATGCGCCCCCTACCTTCACCTTCTTTCCTCGTATGTCCCTACTGCCTCTCACATGCGCCCCCTACCTTCACCTTCTTTCCTCGTATGTCCCTACTGCCTCTCACATGCGCCCCCTACCTTCACCTTCTTTCCTCGTATGTCCCTACTGCCTCTCACATGCGCCCCCTACCTTCACCTTCTTTCCTCGTATGTCCCTACTGCCTCTCACATGCGCCCCCTACCTTCACCTTCTCTCGTATGTTACCCGTGCCTAGCTCCATGCCCGTGCTGCCGTGCCTAGCTCCATGCCCGTGCTGCCGTGCCTAGCTCCATGCACATGCCCTCGCTTCGTGCCCTTGTGTCCTCCTTACTGCCTCTCACATGCGTCTGCTACCTTCAATGCCTCTTTTAACCTTCAACTACTCTCCCTGCCCTGAACCCGAACCTCTGCTTCTTTTTCAGTCCTGACATGTCACATCACTTCCCTTCCCTCGCTTCAACTCCTCTCTTCAGATGTCCCTCACACGTTCTCCATACTTCCACTTGTTTCCTCTTGCTCTTATTTCAACTCTTCCAGTTTCATGTTGCTTTGCATCAAGCTTGACCTGGCCGGACCTGACCGGACCTGGCCTGGCCTGACCTCACCTGACCTCACCTGACCTCACCTGACCTCACCTGTTGCTGCTGCTGGTCTTGTCACAGGTGGATGCAGGAGGGCAGGCTGGATGACGACATTCACAGCGAGTTCTTTAAAGCTTCATGCACCACTGATTCAGCTGCTACATCCGCCACAGCCACTACAGCTACTACCGCTGCCACACAACCTCCTCCTGTGCCCCATTCTTTCCACCTGGCCCCACACAGGTGGATGCAAGAGGGGCGACTGGACGACGACATTCACAGCGACTTCTTCATTTCCGCATGCACTGCTGCTTCCGCACATGCGCACACAGCTACCACTGATGCTGATGCTGAAGCCACCAATTCCGCCACGCCTGCCACGGGGCAAGGGGAATGGCGGAGTGCAGAGGTGTGGGAAGGGGCGAATGTGGAAGGGCAGCGGTTTGTAGTGCGGTGTGATGCAGTGCCGGTGCTGTTTCAGCCGGTGGCTGACGATGTCCTGGCCACGGGGCAGCTGGTGCATGCGCTGAGGGAGCATGGTTACTTGAAGCAGGTGGGTTGGTGAGTTTGGTGAGGACCGTGAGGTGGGGTGCTAGAAAGCATTAGGTGTGTCATCGGGTGTGTGGGCTGATAGTGATGATGTGCTGCCCATGGGGCAGCTGGTGCATGCGCTGAAGAAAGCATTGTGGGTGGGTGGGTGGGTGGGTGGGAGGGTGGGTGCATGGTGCACATGTTGTATGCATGCGCTGCATGTATGCAGTGCAGTGCAATGAGATCAATCCCTTTCCACATCCTCCCTCTGCTTCACATGTTAAAAACGACCTCCCTCTGTAAAGCCTCTGCTTGGAACAACATTCCCTCTCCCTTTTCCTCTCCTCCCGCCTTCACACCACAGCTGACTCTGTCAGCGGAAGAGGCAGAGAAGCCACGGATGCAGCTGGCCAGTGTAGAGGAGAGCATTTTTTATTTGACTCAAGATTTCTCCTCCTTCCCCCCTCACACTGCAGTTGATCCCATCAGAGGGGGAGGCACAACAGCCACAGATGCAGCTGGGCAGTCTAGAGGAGAGCGTGGGTGCGCGCACACAGGCAGTGCAGCAGACGATGATAGACCTTACATTGAACAAGGTGGAGTACTGCCCTGCAATGTGATGGGTACTAATGCTGGAGCAGGTAGGGTACTGTGAAGCTGCATAAGGTGTTGCTGCAGCGAATTGTGTGTGATTACTAATGCCTCCGCGCCTCATGCCTCCGCGCCTCATGCCTCCGTGCCTGCATGTCTGCATACCTGCATGTCTTCATGCTTGCATGCTTCCATGCTGCCATGCCTCCATGCTTCCATACCCCCACGTGGGCCATGCCTCCATGCTGTCATACCTCCATGCTGCCATGCCTCCATGCTGTCATACCTCCATGCTGCCATGCCTCCATGCTGTCATACCTCCATGCTGCCATGCCTCCATGCTTCCATGCCCGCCTGCCTGCATACCTGCATACCTGCATGCCCCATGCCTCCATGCCTGCATGCACATGCATCACCTCAAGTAGGGATGAGCAAGGTGGCAAACACCTGTTCGGTTCGCCTCGAACACGTTTGAGGCGAACCGAACAGGCTTTGTTTTTTAGCTCAAATCGTTCGCCGAACAGTGTTCGATGTTCGCCCGAACACGTTCGTGTTCGGGCCGCTGCTGAAATTTGCCCGCGACGAACACGAACAGTGTTCGAGGTTCGCCCGAACACGCCTCCACAGGCGAACAGCGAACACCTGTTTTTTCCTAAACTGTTCGCCGAACCGAACAGTGTTCGGTTCGGCAAAAGAGGGTGTTCGACAAGGGGCGAAGACGAACATGTTCGTGTTCGCCCTTTGCTCATCCCTAACCTCAAGTATCCATTGTCATCGCGAAGTGTGCACGCATCTGCCTCTGAGCGTGCATGGGCGGGGAAGGGTTGGCTCTGCTGCGATTCTTCTGCTCTGTTTAGAACAGTATCCGCTGTCCTTCGTCTTTCCCTCCCCCATCTCCCCCCGGTCCCCATGCACGCCCGTTTTTCCTGACTGCAAAACAGAGCCACCTGCTCGCGCATCTGCTCACCATCCGACGAGTGCTGCTGCTATCCCAGGTATGAGTTTTGAGACATCTCAAACCTCGTTCTTGTTCCAACTGGCGATCCATTCATTTCCTCCGTTTACTCATCCGTCCACCCACCCATCGCCTGCAGCCAGCTTAGAGACGTCTTGAAAACTCCATCAACCCATGAACCCATCAATCCATCCCTCCCTCCGTCCGTCTCCCTCCCTCCCCCCAGCTCTTCCAGCAAGCCTCCTGACTCGTCCTTGTCATGCCCCGCCCCTCCTGACTCCCCTCACCCTAAACCCGAAACCTTAAACCCTCGACCCCCACCAGGCGGACTTCCTGTCAAGACCCATGGCGCTGGCAGGCGAGGAGTGGAGCTCTGTTTCTGTACCGCAGCCGGGCCGTGCTGATCATGTGCCCGTCCTTTTCCACGTCCCTCCTGACTGCTCCTCATCATGTCAACCCCTTTACCAGGCGGACTTCATTGCGCTGGTATTCGAGGAGAGAGGAGAGGAGGGTCACTCCACTCAGTAAGCCACGTGCATTTCATCATGTGCCGTCTGTGTCATGTCCCCTCTGACTGCTCCTCGTCCCCACCACCCTCCCTCACCGTCACCCTCGCCCTCACCCCCCCTCTCCTTCCCCACAGGCGGATTTCCTGCTGGACTTCATGGCACTGGCAGGCGAGGAGCTCTGCACACTACCCGTGCTTATCATGCGCGCATCCTTGGCACAGGATTCATCAAGTTCTTTCTCACCCCGCTTCACCTCACCCCAACCCCCCCTTCCCCCCACCGCCCCCCCCCCCCCCCCCCTCTCCCAGGCGGATTTCCTGTCGGACTTCATGGCACTGGCAGGCGAGGAGCTCTGCAAGCCGGCCAGCAGGGCGTCTCAAGCTCGCATTGATGTATGTGAGGATGCAGTCAGTACCGTGTCATGTCAAGCATGTCATATGCAGCATGTAGCATCCCCTGTTTGCCATGACACGCGCACCATGCTCAAGGCGCCATGCACCATGGGCTATGCACTGTGTTCCACAGACAGACCGTCACATGCACGATGCACGCTCAACCATGCACCACCATGCACCATGCACCATGGACCACCATGCCCCATGCATGCACAATGCAATGCACCATGCACATTCCACCATACGTAATGAGGATTCCCGAGATGTAACGGAACAAAGGATCCCAACTGCGACTCACTGTAACGCTCCTTTCTCCACAGCAGCCACATGCCCCAAGTGCCATCTCACTAACTCCTGTGTCATTCACAGCACAGTCTCAATAGCTCCCACATGCACCTGACCCCTTGCTTGCGTCATCCAGTTGTCCAAAAGTCTCTTCTCCTTTCTTTCCCATCCCCTCTTCCCTCGCCAGCTCTCACTAGGCGCCTCACTGCGCTCCTCCACAGCAGCCTCTGACCCGAATTGTGACCGCCTCTCCGCACGCCTGGTGAGCATGGTTGAATGAATGAATGGTATGGATGGATGCACACAGGTGCGCGCGCAGGTCAGCGTGTGAGGCGTGCGTAAGTCACACCAGGAAGGTTGTATTGTAAGTGCACATGGATGGATAATTACTCGCGTGTGCGCATGTGCATGCACAGTAGAGATAAACGACTTTTGAGTCGACTTAAAAGTTTATCCGCGTGTGTGTGCACACGTGCTTGCACAGAAGAGAAGAAGCCCTTTCCTTCCCCATCCCTCCCCCTCCTTCCCCGAGTGTTCTTCCTGTGCCTCCACACATCCCCCTCGCATCTCCTATACCTGCCTTGGGCTCCTTACGTACCTTTCGCTTTGCCTCGAAATTAACCCACGACTTTAGAACCGTGCATGCTATTAAACTCCTTTTTACCATCACGACACAGTGTCCCCCCATCAATACACCTCACCTCCGTACCGATCCCACTCACTCTTCATTCACCCCATCTTGCCCCATGTAGGTCCCTGTCGATCCACCCTGTCCCTCCAGCTCATCGCTGCAACAGCAGGCCCTACAGCCTCTACAATCACAATCGCCACACCTCCGTACCGATTCCCACTTAACCCTTCATCCATGTCCCCCAACGTCTCCTCATCTTCTTCCAATCAACCAGGTCCTTGCCGATCCACCCAGTCCCTCCAACTCATCGCTCCAACAGCAGCCCTTACAACCTCTGCAATCACAGTCGCCGCCCTTACAGAGCACACCAGCACAGCCACCACAGTCGCAGCTGCAGCAGTCACGGGAGAGCATGGACGGTGCAGATCTACTGAGCAGCCTCCAGGCTTACGATCAATACGAGGACCTGCTGGGGGACGATGCAGATAGTGACTCTGGCGCTGCTCATGCTGCTGCTGGCGGTGGTGGCGGTGGTGGTGGTGATGGGGATGACAGGCAACTCTACAGCAACCCGCTGTCGCTGCTACCCAAGGCCACCCCTGTTGGCCCAGTCAGCCCTGCGGCTGTATCGTCCTGGTCGCTTGTCTCTCGGGGCACTCCTGCAGCATTGCAGGCAGCACAAGGTGGAGGGGGAAGAGGGGGTGAAGGGAGGGGAGCTGCTGGGCTGAGCGGTTGGGAGGCCATATATATCGACTACCAGGTGGGTGGGTTTATTCTTTTGGGTCGACTAGAGAATTGCCTTATCACACGCGGTTGGGAGGAGGCCATATAAACTGACTACCAGGTGGGTTTATTATTTTGAGGCGACTAGAGAATCGCGTTATCACACACGGTTGGGAGGCTTACCAGCCTTTGTTAGGCGTTTTTGCCGACTACCAGATGAATCTGGCTCTGCTGCTTGAATCTCTTTTTTTTGGTTGAGCACTAGCTTTATTGGTAAACCAAGTCCTTGGGGTCTCGATTTGTTACCCCATTGGTCACCTGCATGTGCATCTTCCGCTTCTTGCTCGCCTCACTCGCATCTTCCGCTACGAATGTCCCACCTATCACTCCCCATTGCAACCTATCTGTTACCCACCTGTTCTTTCGTCCCCACTCCCTGCAGGCCCCTTGGCCAGTATCTGCGGTGGTGCCCCCAGCCGCCCTGCAGGGTTACAACCGCCTCTTCCGCTTCCTGCTCGCCGCCAGGCGAACCCACCTGCACCTCGCCTTCGCATGGTCTGCCCTGCAGGTAGGGCCATGGCTTGATGGTGATGATGTTGATGATGGTGATAATGGTGATATCTGCATGGTTGTGGGGAATGGTGATGATGATGTGATGATAATGTGATGATGATGATGATGACGACAACGACGACGACGACGACGACGACGACGACGACGACGACGACGAAGATGATGATGATGATGATGATGATGATGATGATGATGATGATGATGATGATGATGATGATGATGATGATGATGATGATGATGATGATGATGATGATGATGATGATGATGATGATGATGATGATGATGATGATGATGATGATGATGATGATGATGATGATGATGATGATGATGATGATGATGTTATGATGATGTTATGATGATGGGATGATGATGGGATGATGATGGGATGATGATGGGATGGTAATGATGATGTTATGATGATGGGATGATGTGATGGTGATGGTGCGGGTTATCGAGCTGACGTGGAGCCAAGGAGGATGATGTAGACTGGAGCTAGGGATGAGCAAAGGGCGAACTCGACCACGTTCAGGTTCGAGTTCGCTCGAACATCACCATTTCCCGAACCGAACAAGGTTCGGTTCGCCGAACAATTTGGCTAGCAGGAGGTGTTCGCCGTTCGCCCATGGGGGCGAACATTTGGTATATGTGGGTGAACTCGAACATGTTCGAACCGAACATGTTCGAGTTTGCCCGTGGGCAATTTCGTTATAGACACATTGGTCAAACAGGGAATCTGGAGGGTTGGGAAGATAGATAGGGGGATAGAGGGTGTATATGTGTTCATGCAACGCACACTAGCATACCACACCATCATGTTTTGCCTATGTAAAAGTCACTGTCAAATTAAATCCTATGCCTGCACTGCACACCACTGCTACTACCAACAACAGCATGCTCCGCGTCAGAGCTGTCGCCAGCACCCACCCCCTCCTGCTCCTCCTCCCCCTCCTCCTCCTCCCACTCGTCGTCGTCCTCCTCCCCCTCGCCTTCAATGGCGAACTCTGGTGGTGCCTCGCCTTTTGCACGGTGGCCCTCGCCTATCCTCTGTCCAGGGTGTGAGGTGTACCATGATCTGAGAATCATGGAAGCTCGCGTCCTCTGAGAGGCTAGGCGGTGCCGCTTCCAGGAAATGAGGTTGCGGCCGAGGGAGAACACGCGCTCGCTCGACGCGGACGTGGCAGGTATGGCAAGATAATCCCGGGCCATGCGCCTCAGCGTCTGCATGTTGGTGGCGCTGCGCCAATACTCCAACGCTGACACGTCGCACCGCACCCTCTCAGATAAGTACCTGCCAACCTCGTCATCCTGCACCATCCCACCCCTCCCCGCCTCCTGGCTCGCTGACAGACGCGCCGCAAGGCGTCGGCGACCAGGGAGAAACTCGGTGTCTTCGTCGTCATCCGCCGCGTCTCCCTCCTTCTCCTCCGTCACTGGGGCAAGTAAGGTCGGCCGAGGGGCAATCGCTGCAGCCCGGGCCTGGTACTCAGCCACGCGTTCGCGAACCAGCTGGATCACCTCGCCTGACGAGGGACGAGGCCTCGCCCTCCGGTCGGTATCAGGATGCAGCGTCTCCCAGTGCGCGTCGTCGAACCACGCCGCCTTTATGGAAGGGTCCAAGAAGGTCGCGATCCACAACTTGTTGCTTGACATCAGTTCATACTTCTTCAAGAGACCGAGCGCCGCCTCAATCATCGGCTTCAGCGTAGCCGATGGCCCCTTGGCAAGGCGCGACTCCATAGCGTCGATCAGGCCGTTGTAGTACGGCAGGACCATCGCCACTGTAGGGTACGCCGCTCCCTCCGCGGCCGTTGAGACTTTGTCGAATGGGCTGAGGAAGGTCTTGACAGAATGCAGAGTCTCCCAGTCTGCGTCCGTCAGGCGCAAGGTGTCCATCTTCGCCTTGTCAGCCTTCGACACGCCCTGTCGGGTAGAACGTATGGGTGGGCGGGTGTTAGGGTGGAAAGTGGGGTGGTTGAGGTTGTTGGAGGTCCGATAAGTTTAGTCAAGCATGGCCAACAGTGGTGCAAGTCCCAGAACAAAACACCCCGACCAACATACCAACACATAAAACCGCATACACAACACCTGGCACACACACACACACCTGTGTCTGGGCAAAGAAGACAGAGATGGGTTCCTGCAGAACCCCAGCTCGCTCGACCATGTTGTGGGTCGACCCCCAGCGTGTGGGACTGTCCTGCACCAGCTTCAATGCCGGCTTCGGTTTGGCGGGGTTGCCCTGCGCGTTCAGGGTCCGCTGAAGGCCCAAGAACTTCCCTGAGCGCTGCGGCGAGAAGCCTATCCACAACGCCATCTCTCTCAGAATCTTCAGCAACTTGCGGATGGCGGTCACAGCGAGTGCTGCCTTCACTGCAAGGTTGATCACGTGTGCCAGGCATCTGCGCACATCACAAAACATTAATGGCGGAGAGAAAGGGAAGTGTGAGTACACATTGGCATAGACCCAAGAAACACTACCACTCTCAAGCCGCATAGGCCCACCCGCCCGTACTACAACAACAACATGTTCACAGGAACGACGCACCCGGACTCCCTCATCGCACATCCCACGCACACTCCCTTTCGTACCGGAAGTGCATGCGCAAGTTGAAGAAGCACTGGCCACCACCCTCCTCCGACATCCACCTGAAAGCGGCAGTGTTGCTGGAGGCGTTGTCTGAGGTGAACCCAAGACAACGCGTCTCCAACCCCCACTGCACCACCGTCTCCTCAACCACCCTCGCCATCTGCTTGCCCGTGTGACGCCTGTGAATCTCGCGGAATTCAAACACCATTGTGCGCAGCTGGTAATTCTCGTCGATCCAGTGACCCGTTACCACTAGCCACGCCCTGTTGTTGGGCGACGTCTACATGTCGACGGTGAACGACACCCTGCACCCCAGCTCCCCCTCCTTTGCCAGCATCTCCGCAATGGCTGACTGAAGAGCGGCAGCCGCATAGACCACTGTGTCGCGGGAAACCGTCCAGCGCGAGGGGATGAAGTTCTTCTGCGCGCAGTTGCGGTTTAGCAGGATGAGTAGCTCACGAAACTGGAGAGGGGTAGAGACAAGGGGGGAGAGGGGAGTAAACGTCAGGGGGATGGGATGAAAACAATAGAGCACTGCACTGGGCCACACGCAAACAGTCAAAACACAAAGGGACAGACCCGTCCACTAACCACATACTTGCCCAATCATGCATGGGATGGGATGGGGCACTTACAGCCTCGGCCTCGACGATGCGGAAGGGGAGGTCGCAGGTGACCACCAGCTTCGTGATCGCCTGCCGTAGCTGCACCGAGGTCAGTTTGGCTGTCATCCACCGCTCCATCCCGCCTGACCCATGACCTCCACCAGTCGCCATCCCTTTCCCCTTGGCGAGCTGCGGCCAAGTCTTGGCATGTGGCCACTGATAGACGTAGCCATCCGGCACTCCCTTGTAGCCCCCACGGGGAAACGTCTCCCCTGGCAAGTGAACGGACGGGGTGTGGTAACGGTGATGCCACACATGCATGTGCGCAGTGTGGAAGCTCGCAAAGTGCCGCTCGCCGGGGGTTGTTGTGGATTGCTTCCACGAAATCCTGTCTGTGCAAATCTTGCACTGACGCTTATCGTCTGCCCCTAACGGTCCGAACATCATTACTTGCCACCCCGGCTTCCTATTACCCTTGCCAGTCCCCTTACTACTCTCGGACCCTCCGTCCTCGTCTAGGAACTCGGGAGCGATCACACCCTCGCCCAATGGCTCCCCAGTTAACGTGCAGGGATACGCCCGCTCCCTCAACTTGTTGGCCTTCTTCCTCTGCCTCGGCTCCCTAATGGTCACGACCTTTCTCCCCCCCACCTTAACCCCCACGCTCCCTCCCCCTTCACGCACATGCTGTGATCCCGCCTCTGTCGCCGCCCTTCCACCACCCTCTCCCACCCCCTCCTCCAGCCCCTCTGGCTCCAACCCATCCATCTCGTGGTCTTCATCATCATCATCTCCCCCCTCCCCACCGCCATGCGTCTCTGGGTCCCACTCCGCCTCGCTGTCATCCCCGCTCCCCTCAGTGTCCTCCTCCTTCTCGCCCTCACCATCCTCCTCCTCATCCTCCTCCTCACTGCCGCTCTCCGGCTGTGTCTGCGTCTGCCCCGAAAGAGGGGGTCGAGGGCCGTCGTAACGGAAAGAGCGACGAGAGGTCGGCGCCGGTACGGTAAGCAACCCCCCAACGAAGATCGCGCCGGCTCCTCCCGGTCCATCCTCTACTCGCCCCTGCATAGGTCGTGGTCGAGAACCCGGTGCGCTGCCCTGAGCCGTGCCTGCACCTCGGCCTATGGATCTACCAGCCCTGGAAGCCATAACTCCGCCCTCGACCCTAAACCCTAAAACACCTTTCCTGCAACGGTAGCGTTGGATGGTGCCGCACGTTCCTAAACGTTATCCCGCACGGTTAGGTCTCTGAAATGCCCGGTCCGAATCCTACGGCGTAGGAAACGCCCTAGTTGAGCCCTTTGCGGAGATGCTGGCTGAACCTTAATAGTAACCCTAAACACCCTACACTAAGTTAAACCCTATGCATAGATTTTATGTCCGTCTACATTGCAAGTATCAGCGTGCACTTGCTTGCACCTTGAAGAAGGCTAGGGCGGCTGTGTGAGGGAGCGCTAAGGCGAAAACGAGTTCTGAGTTTGAGCTCACGAAATGAGCTCAAACACAAATTGGTCGCGACCTAAATCTGGTCGCGGCCAATTTTGACGCGAACCTTTTTGGTGTTCGCGTGGCCCCCAAGTCGAACACGAACATGTTCGTGTTCGGCTTGGAGACCCGAATTTCTGGGGCGAACGTCGAACATGTTCGGCCAAACACCGAACATGTTCGGCCCGAACAATTTTGGCAAAAAAAATTGCCTGTTCGGTTCGCCTTGCTCATCCCTAACTGGAGCTAGCAAGGGGTTGCGCACTCGGACCTTGAGTTGGGATGATCGCAGCCCTTCTCAGGACATACGCAGCCGAATGCTTGGGTGTTGAGTGTGAGTAGGTTGACAGCTCCTTGGGCGTTGGGTGGTCACTGCTGCATCATGTGTACTCTCAAGTCAACTCAGAACAAATCTCCCTTCCCCGCACTTCACACTTGCAGTTGACGCTGGGGCCAAAGGTGCAGGGGTTGCTACTGCAGCTTGGGTACTCCTGAATCACTAAATGAACTCCTCCCTCCCCCACCACATCACACTCGCAGCTGGGGGGTTTGAAGGTGGTGGGGGCAATGCTGAAGCAGGTGCACTCTTGAGTGCGACTCAAAACAAACCTCATCACCCCTCTTAACACGCACTTCACTTATGATTGCAGCTGACTCGCGGATTGAAGGTGGAGGGGCCAATGCTGCAGCGCGTGCACTGGCTGCGGCATCGCATGGCGTGTGCTGTCACTGCCATCCTTGACCATGTCGCACATGCGGTCTGTATGCATGGGTGCATGGAGGCATGGGGGCATGGGTACATGGTGCATGGGGGCATGGGGGCATGGGTACATGGTGCATGGGGGCATGGGGGCATGGGTACATGGTGCATGGGGGCATGGGTACATGGTGCATGGGGGCATGGGGGCATGGGTACATGGTGCATGTATTCAAGGGTTACATGGGTGCATGGGTGCACTGTCTCCGGCATCGCTTGGTGTGTGCTGTCACTGCCATCCTCGACCATGTTGCACATGCAGTGTGTGTGGGGGGGTGGGAAAGGGGGCGGGAGGGAGGAGGGCGTGTGTGTGCGTGCATGTCTTCCCATCCTGGCTGCGGCATCGCATGGCATGCACTGTCACTGCTATCCTTGACCATGTGGCACATGCGGTGAGTATGCCTGGGTACATGGGTGCATGTATGCATGGGTACATGGGTGCATGTATGCATGGGTACATGGGTGCATGTATGCATGGGTGCACTGTCGCATGGCGTGTGCTGCCACTGCTATCCTCGATCATGTGGCACATGCGGTGCGTGCGTGAGGGTGAGTGAGTCTGTGTGCGCGCTTGCACGTGCGTGCATGCGTGCGTGCGCGCCTATCTTCCCATCTTTCCATTCTGGGGTTGACACGTGGCATTTGCCTTCTCTCGTCCGTTTCTCTGTCTTTTTTGTTTGGTTATCAGTTGCACTTTAAAACTACTTTTTTCATGACCTGCCTTCTTCCTGCACCTATATAGTGTTCCCCCATATAGGCACATAGTCCATTCCTTTTCTCTTTCCTGTATGCCCCTTCCCTTCCCCCCTTCACCTCTTCTGATTGGTTCCCGTGCTCACACCCTCTCCCTCCGAACATCCCTCCCCTCGTAGCACCCTCAAGTGATTAGCACTATTTTAATACCATGACATCCCCTCCCCTCCCTTCCCCCTCTCATCCCACCCCTCACGTCTCTCTTCCCTCCACCCCTCCATTCCCCTCCCCTCCTATCTCTCGCTCAATGCCTGCGGGTGATAAGCCCCAATTTCGAGATGTCTCAAATGTCCCACTTCCCTCCGCCCTTCCGTTCCCCTCTCCTCTCATCCGCTCAATGCCTGCAGGTGATATGCCCCAATTTCGACCTTATGACATCCAGATTGACCAAGGCTACCTCCTTCCACCAGGTGACTCCCTCTCTTCCCTTCCGCCCAACCTCCATCCTCCCCTCCATGGCTTCATGAGCACAAGAGAGCACATGAGCAGATGCGCACATGAGCACAGAAGAGCACATTAGTACATTCTCATCTCCCTCCTCCGTCGCTTCATCTTTATGGTTTGACCACTCTGCCTGTGCCACCCTGGTGCTATTCGTAAGGGTGTGTGTGGCATTTTTCTAGGTTCGTAAATCAGGTCGAACTTTTGGTGGTTACCGCTTTCGCCAGTGTCGCCGCCGACACGGTTTGGCGAAGGGCACTTTAAAATGAAACACACAAACGCGACCAACAAAAAGTGAACAAGGCTCGAGTCTACGCACGAACGTGAGAGTGCACGATGAACTGAACATGTGTTATTTTGGGCACGTAAGAGGAGTTGGCGAGTGCGCGAGTCGTTCGTGCACCAATGAACGCACCACCGAAACCAGGTACGACTTTGTCTCGAAGAGCTAGACAAAACCGCGTAACCTAACTTACCTACGGGCAGCTCGTCTCACTCCCTATAATGTCAAACATGCAAATTCGAACTTGGGTGTGTGGTTTGGCTTCAACCATTTGCGAGGCGCGGCTCGAACTTTGCCTACAACAAAATTCGAATCATGTTCACCTCATGTTCAAATGCTACATTCGATCCCAAAACGTAAACTTATACAGAAAACAAAAATCACACACACCCTAAGAGTTAGGGCAGCAACCGGTCTTAATTCTTTCCTCGCTCCACAAATTGCACTGACAAGGCATCACCTGCCAGCATTGGAAGGAACTGGGTCTTTCATCACAACTGGCTTTGATTCCCCATCCTCACTCCCAATATTACGTCAAGATTCCCCTGTTTTCTTCTGGTTTTTTTTTCATTATTATTGTTTTTTTTTTTTTTCAAAAATCTCTGTTTCTTTAGGTTCGGGGAACTCTACAAAGCTATGCGCTATTCGTTGCATGTCCTGGAGAAAGTAGCCAACTATGGTGTGCTCTACTCCTGCCATGCGTGTCAATACAGCTCTGTACAGCTTCTTTTCTCCTCGAGAAGTAGCCAGATACACTCTCTTCTGTATTCTCCTGTCTGCCTGCCCGTATACAGCTTGTGCTGGAGCACCAATCGTTTCTTGACACGTGTCTCTCAGAGGGGCTACTGGATTCATGCTTGCACATTCGAGAGGTTTGTAGCACATGCCTGCCTGCCTGCCTGCCCGCCTAGCATCACCTTGAACACGCCTTGCTCAAGCAATATACCCTTGAGCTACACACGATGCAGGCTGCACGGAAGCATGGCCTCCTTGGTGACCTGACCTGTACTGCATGTTGCGGCGCTAAGAATTGGCCATTTTGTGTAACATATGAGGAGGCATTGCAATGGGTCTTTGCTTTCAGTGTTTGGTGTTCTTCCACCTGTTATGTCAGCTCTCTTTTTCGTTTATGTTTCAACGTCTTATGAGGCGCCTCAAAAGAACGTCTTATTTGCGTCCTGGTCCTGTCTGGTGCCCTCGTAGTCCTTCCTGAAAATGTGTCTGTCCTCTATTCAATACATATCTTCCTGCCCGTATGCCTTCTTTGTTTCATTGTTCGTTGTTTATGTTGTAAAAGGCCTGACAAAGTCACAGCTTGTCATAATGAGACGATATTTGCCCACTCAAATGCCAGGTATCTTGCCCCACTCTCCTCTGCCCCTCTCCCTCCTCCGTTGCACTGCACCCCACCTCCCTGCAGAAGCTATCCTCTCTCCTTTCCATCGCCCTTCGCTTCGCCACCACCGTCAGCACCACCATCCACACAGCCTCCTCTCTCCCCGGCCTTGATTCGTCGTCTTCATCATCAGCAGCAGGAGGAGGAGGAGGAGGAGGAGGAGGATGGGGAGGAGGAGGAAGGGGGGGTTATGCGGTGGAGGGTAGGACCAGTGGAGGCGAGCTGGCTGATTACGCGTACGGCGATGCCACGTCAGATGCCACGGGACAGGCGGCCCGGGCGGCATTCCGTCGACAGTTAGCGGCAGAGGAGCTACAGCGGGGTTTGGAGGAGGAAGGGTTTGTCGAAGAAATGAGGTGTGTGTGGGGAAAGGAGTTTGGGGGAGAAGGGGGAGGGGCGTAAAGAGGCGGGATTAAAGAGGGTTTTAAAGGAGACATTGACTTTGCAAGGAACATATACCTGCTCCTCTCCTTGTCTCCTGCTCTCATCATCTCACCACCTCCCCATCTCCCAGTTTCCCTATCTCCCCATTTCACCGTCTCCCCATCTCCCTGCTCTCCCCAACTCAACCTGTCCCCATCCCACCAGGGCCATGCATGCTGCTTTCGCGACCTCTCTCCGGGCTGCCTCTACTGCCATCGCATCTGCCCTCCGAGACCATCCTGTGTTGCTCTCCCTGCACCTCGCCCTCTCTGCTGTTGCCAAAGGACTTCCTTAAAAGTTCCCCTTTTCGTCGTTGAGATGGTGCAAGTGGCAGCTGTGAAGCACATGGGGATGTCACAACATGACTAACAGGATGATTTTGCCGCATGAGAGTATTGTACCCGAATTATAGCAATACGACAAATGATGGCCGCTTGGTTACCAGTGTATAGAGAGACGCATGAGTCATAATATTAAATCCTGGATGTGTTCTTTTCTGTATCACTGGATGTTCAGACCGCCTAAGCATCAGGATTTCATAACTGCTTCTCTCAGAATGTTAGCCCAATTTCCTATCACGCTTCTTTGACCCTATTCATCGGTTGTTGTTCAGTTTTCTGAAGGATATATTCGTGCTATTTATAATGAGTACATTCTGACGCGTTCAGTACAGCTGCCGCATCTGACGGACGCCGCGACCCAAAAAGTCTGACGAGTTTCGTTTAATATCGCGAATCTCGCAACCCTCGCAATTCTTGGTGGCCCGACTTCACCTGATAGACTAGTGACCCCAGGCAGTCGGGGCATCTTCACACCATCTTCAGAATTTAGTGGCGCAACCCTGGCAAGGGTTTGGTAAGCTGAAACACAACGCTTAGCTGACACTCTGTCTTGTTTTGCCTCTGCACTAAGCTCGACGACAATGCGCGGCGGAGATTGTCACGGAGAGCCAGCTCCCCATTTCCAGAGACTGTCCAGGGGAATTGACCCGCTTTACTCTTTTTTCAGTCTTGATGCAACTCTGTTTTCGGGCTTTCCCTTGAGGCGGTCGGGGTGGTCGGTCTAGGCCTGTTACTGGGGTGCAATCGCAGTCCCCATAAGTCCGCAAAATCGCCTGCTAGTTACCCGGGATGAAAGGGCTGCTGAAAACGAATGTTGCTTGACTTCAAGCCGATTGACCCTTTACAAGGCCCTCTGGATCGCGTTTCTAGCTCGGAACTCCATAGCCGACCGCGGAATCTACTCGTTCATTCGTCCTAGGAGAAGTCATTGCGATCCACAACCAATGGCATCCCTCAAGCCTTGGCGCAACCATCCCTCCGATTCGGTTCCAGCTTATCGGTCATGAACTGCCCTAGGGCGAGTTCGCCCTTCAGTTCTGTATTTAACATGCCTCTTCGTTGCTGGTAAAGCACGACTCGTGCTCTCCAAGTCGGACTTCGATCTTGTGCTCTCCAAGTCTAATTCTGGTAGATCAGAACTACCACCTACCAGTAGTACCTCTTCTCTAAGAATGGCGCGTCTAAGCGGGATTAGGGCTGTCTCTCTGCTGCTAGCCGCTGCCCTCGTTCTCTCCACATATGCTTCGACCGCGGTTGCTGAGAAGCGGAATTCGGATGGTGAGTTCCCCCTTCCTCTTTCTCCCCATCACATAATAATGCCGATCCCTGTTCTCTTTGTCATGGTGGCGTTCGTTGGGAGAGTTTTGTTTGTTTTCTCTTCTTTTGGTTCTTCATCGCGAAAAAAGAGTTGCCAGACAGCTGCGGGAAAGTTGCAAAAATGATACTTTTTGGATACCTTGGTTTTGCAACTTTCCAGTGATGGTCAAATGTTGCAGAAATCCAAGTCCCTGGAAAGTTGCTAAAAAGTTGCATTTCTGCAACATTTCCGCAACAAAACCGCGACATAGTGGACACTTGCATCTGAAACAGTGGGCCAAGCGCGAAGGTGTCGCGATGAACTTGCTTGGTAGTTGATTTCAGCCTCGGGTGATCCAACAAAATTGTTGATTTTGTTCATCCTAGGGTTCGGAGACTTGATTTCATTCCTGACAGGGTGTTGCTGTGGACAGGAATGAGATCTCGTGCAGCGCAACTTTCCCATCTCGCTCGAAAGGCTGGAACAGTAACTGCGCACTTCGGGTACTCGATATTGTGTAGATGTAAAATGGTTACGACAATGTTACCACTTTGTTGAAGCTAATGCGCAACTACGCTAAGAGTATGTAATTAGGAAACGGGTAATGTAGTAACCACCCAATGCAATGTTACACTGTACACGTTGAAACTTCTTTTATTTGATTTTTGTTTCCTAAAAGGCCGAAATGGTATTTAAATTTGCTATTAATGATTTGCATAATAAGCAATACATTTTTATTCTATTTCTGAAACCCCAAAATGGAATTACAGTCTAGAAAAGAAAAGAGCTTCAAGAACGACAAAAACATTCAAATGCAAGCTCAAACATTCTCATAATCAAGCTCATCATCGAACTCCAACTCCTCTGACGCATCTTCGTCACCCAAGAGATCGGCAGCAAGCTGAGACTCTGGCACATCCTCCCACCCAACCAGGCAGATCCTCCCTATGCCAAGGTACTTGCCCTCCACATGAACCGGGCCACGGTTTATCCAGCGTTGAATGACACGAGCCTGGCGTGTCATTGCCAAAGAGTCACCAGAACGCCTCAGCTGCGTCCTTGCTGCGGTCGGATTGCGCAGCCTGAAGCGCACCTACACCACACCAGAAAAGAATAATAAAACAGAGCAGCATGTCATCTTTCCGACCTTGGTATTAAGCCAGCCGATCGAGGCGACACCAAAGCAGATCCACACCCTGAAGAATTGTGGAGGCGAGGGATGATGGGGGGAAATTGGCTGGGTGCATGAGGGTTGACATGCACTACAGGACAGAGATGATGGGGAGAAACAGAGAGCAAAGTATGAGAATCAGTGAGACAAACACTCCTTCCTGAATCTTGGAAACCACGGATGAAACCAATCAGGGCAAAGAGGGGAGAGAAGAATGTTCAGGCACCCAAGCAAGGAGGGGAGAGAAAGACAAAAACGTGCCAGCATTTAAGGCAAGGAGGGGGGAGAAGATGAATCATATTTGAGAAACGGAACAACCTGCAGGCAGTCAAAGGCACAGATGGGAGAGGTGAGCATGCGCGCATGCCAAAGCAAGGCGAGCGAGAGATGAGCCTGCGGACAAATTAAGGAAAGCAGAGGAAGAGATTAGCATGCGTGCATGCTAAGGCCAAGTGATGGAGATATGAGCCGACAATCCAAAGAAAGGAGAGCAAGAGAATAAACCTGCAGGCAATTCACAACAAGGAGAGGGAGGGAGATGAATAACCAGCAGCGCACACAAGGTAAGGAGAGGAAGAGAATGAACCTCCATGCAAGAAGAGGGAGAGAAGATGAATTACCATCAGCGCACACAAGCCAAGGAGAACAAGAGAATAAACCTGCAGGAGATTCAATGCAAGGAGAGAGAGAGGATGAATAACCAGCAACGCACACAAGGCAAAGAGTGGGAAAGAATGAACCTGCAAGCATTACAAGGGAAGGAAAAAAAAGCTGATGAAGTACCACCAGCGCACACAAGGAAAGGAGAGGGAGAGAATCAACCTGCAGGCAATTCAGGGAAAGGAGAAGAAAAGATGAGCACGTGGGCAATCCAAAGCAAGGACAGGAGGAGAATAAACCTGCAGGCAATTCAAGGCAAGGAGAATGAGGGAGATGAATAAACAGCAGCGCGCACAAGGCAACGGGAGGGAGAGAATAAATATGCAGGCAATTCGACGCAAGGAGAATGAGTGAGGATGAATAACCATCAGCGCACACAAGGCAAGGAGAGGGAAAGAATGGACCTGCAAGAATGGAAAGGGAAGAACGAAAAAGCCTATGAATTACCAGAAGCACACGAGGCAAGGAGAGGGAAAGAATGGACCTGCAAGAATGGAAAGGGAAGAACGAAAAAAGCTATGAATTACCAGAAGCACACAAGGCAAGAGTGCGTTAGAATAAGCCTGCAGGTGATTCAAGGCAAGGAGAGGGAGAGTGGATGAAAACCCAGTAATGCACACAATGCAAGGAGAGGTAAACACTGAACCTGCAGGCAATTCAAGGCAAGGAGAAGGAGTGAGGATGAATAAGCAGCAGTGCATACAAGGCAAGGAGAGGGAAACAATGAATCTGCAAGCACTAAAAGGGAAAGAAAGGGAAAGCAGATGAATAAACAACAGCAGACACAAGGCTAGGAGGGAGAGACTCAACCTGCAGGCAATTAAAGGAAAGGATGAGTGAGGATGAATAACCAGCAGCGCACACAAGGCAATGAGAGGGAAATAATGAACCTGCAAGAATCAAAAGGGTAATAAAGTGAAAGCAGATGAATTACCGACAGCACACACAAGGCAAGGAGAGGGTTAAAATAGACCTGCAGGCGAAGGCAAAGAGAGGGAGAGCGGATGAAAAACTAGCAGTGCACACAATGCAGGGAGAGGGAAATAATGAACCTGCAGGCAACATCAAGGGAAAGAGAGGGAGAGATGATGAATAAACTGCAGCACACACAAGGTAAGGAGAGGTTGGAATAAACCTGCAGACGAGGGAGAGGGTGAGAAGATGAAAAGCAGAAACGCACACACGGCTAGGAAAGGAAGAGAAAAAACCTGCAGGCAATTCAAGGCAAGGAGAGAGAGAGAGAGAGAGAGAGAGAGAGAGAGAGAGAGAGAGAGAGAGAGAGAGAGAGAGAGAGAGAGAGAGAGAGGATGAATAATCAGCAGTGCACACGAGTCAAGGAGAGGGAGAGAAAAACCCTGCAGGCAAATCAAGGCAAGGAGAAGAAGAGATGAGTATGTGGGCAATCTAAAGCAAGGAGAGGAAGAGAATAAACCTGCAGACAATTCAAGGCAAGGAGTGAATGAGAATAAACCTACATGCAATTCAAGGCTAGGAGAGGAAGAGAATAAACCTGCAGGCAAGGAGAGGGAGAGAAGATGAAAACGTAGCAGAGTACACTAGCGACAGAAAGGGAGAGAATGAATCTGCATGCGATTTAACACAAGGAGTGGAACAGGAAACCTGCAGACAGCTCAACGCAAGGAGAGGAAGAAAATAAACCTGCAGGAAATTTAACGCAATGAAAGGAAGACCTGCAGGCAATTCAAGGCAAGGAGAGGAAGAGAATAAGCATGCATGCAATCAAATGCAAGGAGAGAATGAGAATAAACTTGCAGGCAAGGGGAGGAGGGAAGATAAAAATATAACAGCGTACACAAGCCAACACACGGGAGAGAATGAACCTGCAGACCATTCAAGGCAGGGAGAGAAATAGAGAATGAATAACGAGCAGCGCACACAGGCAAAGGGGAGGGAGAGCGTGCACCTGCAGGGAAGTAAAGCCAGGGAGAGGAAGATATGATCATGCAGGTATGCCAAGGCTAGGGGAGGGAGGGATGAGCGTACTGGTAGATTAGGCCCAGAAGAGGGAGAGATGATGAATAACGAGCAGCGCACACAAGGCGAGGAGGGGAGAGACTGATGACTTGAAAACATATTAAACAGAGAACTGGTTGGAATAAACCCATGCAAACCTTACCACCGCAAGGATGAGCATAAGCTGGACTGGATAGAGGCCGATGGGCAGCAGCGGGTCGTAGCTCTGTGGGACAAACAATCGAGCACACTCCAGGAATGCCGGGCTTGAGAACGCTTCTCCATCAGCAACATGCCAATAAATCCCAAGTTCCTCTGCATATGACAAGCGAAGCGGAAACGTAAAACTTGGTGTTTCCAAACATAACATGCGTGATTGCTTAGAAACAGGGAATACCAAGGCAACACTTACTGTCTGAGTTTTTGGAAACGTAATCCTCGCAACGAACCGCGAAATCCTTTCCCGGTTGAAATGTGAACTTTCTGTCATTCCCCCTTTTGGGGACTAGCAGGCGTAAAGGTGTCCTTCGCAGGGAGTACCGACACGCCGAGTAGATATTCCCAATCCTGTTGTTGAAACGGCGCTTGGTCATTTGCGGAATTTTCAGGTCCTTGAGCGTGGCCTTGAGCTTTCCGGATGCCGTTGTGCCAAAAGGAATGCTGGAGTTTGCTGTGCACGCAACCAAACGTGTTGTTAGGCAAGATCAACTTCAACTCAAGCAACCCAAACAAACAAAGCATTACCTAGAAGGCGCTCTGTCACATATGAGCGCGTCGGATTGAGGTTCATGTGCTCTTCATCAAAGAGCATATCATTGACCGAATCTTTGACAAGCCTCTGCAACATGGCATTGCGGAATTAGGGTCAGAGTATTTCAAGGCTGAATCTGAAATCACAACGCTTCTTCAAAGTCTTACCTCGACGTTGACGTGGCGAACCTGCTCGTCAATGACATGTACTGGAAGGGTCGTTGCCATGGACAGGGCCTCCTTCAAATTGGCTTCTTTACTGGCACACGCCTCTCAAGCAGCTTTTGCGTTCTCCCTCTCCTTCTCCATCTGCAAACGGACGTCATCATTCAAGGTCTTTGCGGTCCGACCTTCTTCAGCGAAATCATCAGCTTCAGCATCATAATTCCCACCTTCCACCTGTTCCATGACACGAGCAGCAAATGAAGTACCACTGGCGCCTGCATACATGCCACCCAAACCAGCAATAGGTAAATTCCAGCAAGGCAGTAGCCTCTCTATCAGTGACAGTCTTGATCATGTCACCGAGATGACAAATTTAGGCAAGCCTACAGATTCGTACCTTGTTGGTTACCACCCATAGTCGCAGCTGGCATATCTTCTCCTTCCCCTTCAAGATGTTCCTCCTGCTGGCTTGCCTCATGAGTTGGTGCAGCATTCTTCGGCTCCCCCATGCAAGTCTCTTCAACATCACCTCCACGCTCGTTTGCAGTAGGGGATCCCTGTGCAGCTGTTGGGAACACAAAGGCAGCTGTTGGGGAGGTGGACGCACTGTTACCCTGGGTTGTATTCATGGGAGGTGCCCTCCCATGGCTTGAGCCGAGTATCTGCTGAGTTGCAGATTGTGTCAGAATGAGAAACGAGAATGATGAGTAACTAGCAGGAACAACAGTACAAATATGTCAAACCCTAATCTGGTGTACCCCTTATGGTGTGACCCACTACAGCCTAGAACCACACAAACATATAAATGTTTGACACACCCCCATAGGCAAAGTGGGGGAGACCTAGGGGTCACAAGACCAGTCAAGGCAAAACAAGGCAAACAAGCTCAGGGTGGATCTCGAGGATTCCACACAAATTCCGAGCACAAGCAAGCGGTCACAAGACCAGTTCACATGCAGTTTTATAATAGAGCAAGAGGTACAATGATCACAACCTAACAAGGCAAACATGCAGGTATATATATTATGATCACAGTACAAGTAAAGTCAGGAAGTAAGTAAGTGAGAAACAGTCGGCACAAGGCCTAGAAGAGTGCAAACACGCTGATGGTCAACAGGCGGAAGCGCCTTGGTGAACACATCAGCAGTGTTGGCCTCAGTGGCCACGTAACGCAGAAGAAGCTGACCACGCTGCTGTAGCTCTCGAGCTAGAAAGTAACGCAGAGCAATGTGCTTCGTCCTGTGCTCCAGTCTGTGCTCCTGGCACAAGGCAATGGTTGCCTTGTTGTCGACGTACAGCACTGGAGGAGAACGAGGCTGCTCTCCAAGGTCAGTCAGCAGGTAGGTGAGCCAGCGAAGCTCCTGGGCAGCCATGGCCGTGGCGTAGATCTCAGCCTCACAGCTGGAGCTGAGAACAGAAGAAGAACGAGTAGAACGCCAAGAGACAGAGCCAGAGCCAAGACTGAAGGTGTAACCCTGAGACGACCGCTGAGTAGCCTAGTCGTCTGCCCAAGAAGCGTCTGAGTGCCCAGTGAGAACAGGCCGGTCTCGCCCTCCAAGCACTAGCCCCATGCCCGACGTACTGCACAAGTAGCGCAACACCCTCTTAGCTGCATCCATGTGCTCCTTCCGGTGACGGCCGGGAGCGACATAGCGTGCTAAGATGCTGAGAGGGTATGCAAGGTCAGGTCGAGTGCAGGTCATCAGGTACATGAGGCAGCCCACAAGCTCTGGATACGGACCACTCGGCTCTACGGACTCATCCGAAGGCAGAGCTGAGAGCGAGTGTCCCGTAGGCAGAGGAGTGGACTGAGGCGAGGAGTACGTGAACCCGAAGCGCTGAAGGACCTGCTGCACCATGTGTGACTGAGTCAAGGTGATGGTGCGCCGTGCTCTGTCCCGGGTGATCCGCAAGCCAAGATAGCTTGTCAGTTCACCCAGGTCTGTGCACGTGTGTCTCTTCTGCAGCTCGGACTTCACGTGGGCGAGTGCGGCAGTGTCCGCAGTGGCAAAGACCAAGTCGTCGACGTACACGAGGATGTAGAACGGCGGCTGCGAGGTGTCGGTGCGCAGAAACAGCGACGGGTCAGCAGTAGAAGGAGCAAACCCAAGAGCCGCAAGTGTAGTCCTCAGTGTGTCGTGCCACTCACGCGGCGCCTGGCGGAGACCGTAGACTGGCCGCCGGAGGCTCCACTGGGTGCCAGGAGGGAACGACCCAGTGAAGCCAGGTGGGCGGCGCAGCCAGATCTCCTCGTGCAGGCTGCCCTGCAAGAAAGCTGTGCTGAAGTCAAGAGAGTGGAGCTCGTAGTCACGCTGAGCGGCGACGTGTAGCAGAACCCGAAGAGTGGTCATCTTCGGGGTGGGGGAGAAGGTCTGGAAGAAGTCAACTCCCTCTCGCTGACTGAAGCCTCGTGCAACGTAACGCGCCTTGAAGACAGGCGGAGAGCCCGGCGGCCGCTTCACCCTGAAAATCCACATGCCACTGACGATGTTCGCCCCAGGTGGGGGAACCTCGTCGACGTAGGTGCCAGTGGACTTCCAGGAAGCCATCTCTGTGTCCATGGCTGACTGCCACTGAGAGGAGTAGGGACCGGCCATCGCCTCTGCGTAAGAGCGTGGGGTCGGGATGTCTGGTGCATCCGGGTCTCCCTCAGGGGCAACAAGCATGGACACGAGATGGGGCAAAGCAGCGGCAAGGCAACCAAACTCCTCCTGCCTGTCCTCAAGGACGTCCGTGCCAAGAGCACACTCACCCCCGACGGACGGAGGACAGGCAGACTCAGACTCAGCAACAAGACTCGCTGCGTAGTCTAGACGACACGCAGCTGCAAAGTCGACAAGCTCAGTGACTAGGGCAGACGCAGCAGCGGACTCAAAGGAAGGGTCAGTGACAACTGTAGCTAGGAGACGTGTGACAGTAGGACTGGCAGCGCGAAGGGAGTCTGACTCCGGATCAGCAAGAGCAGGAAGAGAGGACGCAGGAGGCGACGGGAGAGCAACACGCTGCGGAGCAGTGGACTGACGAAGCGCCATCCGGTGCGTGCCTGGGACAGCAGGAGGACGCTCACGTGGGACACGACTACCAGTGGTAGCAGCTCGAACAGGCGACGCTCGACGAGACGCAGGTGACACAGGACGTGACGCAGGCTCACGTCTCTCAGCAAGACCGTCAGTCGGACCAGTGTAAGGAGCAGGCACAGGGAGTGGGGAGGCAGGCGGTAACTGTGGCTGTGACTGGACAGACGGCGGACACTCTAAGGCGAGAGGAGAATAAAGAGGAGGAGGCTGACCAAGAACTTGCTGAAGGAGCGGAACGAAGTACGGTCGTGGCCGTGCAGCAGCTCTCGAACCAGCAGAGACACCAGCGGCAGCAGCAGCACCTCGAGAAGCAGCAGCACCTCCAGTACCAGGGTCCGCAGCACCTCCAGCAGCACCTCCAGCAGCACCGCCAGCAGCAGCAGCACCTCCAGCACCAGGGTCCGTAGCACCCACAGCAGCTCCAACGCCCGGGTCCTCAGTACTAGCAGCACCTCCAGCAGCACCGCCAGCAGCAGCAGCACCTCCAGCAGCACCGCCAGCAGCAGCAGCACCTCCAGCACCAGGGTCCGTAGTACTCGCAGCAGCGTCAACTCCGTGGACCCCAGCACCAGCAGCTCCACTACGGAGACTGATGTGCCGAGCGTACCACTCTCGAAGCTGAGGGGAAGAGGGCGGCTCCCGCCGTGGTGGGGAAGCACGAGTACCAACTCCAGCAGTACCACGAGCCCGAGACTCACCCCGCCGGAGGCTGCAGTACCGTGAGTACCACTCACGCAGCTGCTGCGAAGAGGGAGGTCCTCCAGGCGCCTCACAGTCAACTGCAACACCACCAGGCTCAGCACCCCCAGGCTCAGCAGCTCCAGGCGCAGTACCCCTAGACTCAGCAACGCCAGGCTCAGTACCCCCAAATCCAGCACCCCCAGGCTCAGCACCCCCAGGATCAGCACCCCCAGACTCAGCACCCCCAGGCTCCGCACGCTCAGGCTCCGCACGCTCAGGCTCCGCACGCTCAGGCTCCGCACGCTCAGGCTCAGCACCTCCAGCAGGACGCGAGTCGACAGCTACCTCGGCAGGCTCAACCGGGTCTACCTGAGAGACACCTGAGGGAGCGGCACCCTGAGGGGGAAGGGGGTCTACCACTGCAGCACCTGGCGCGAGGAAGAGAGGCGGGGGAGGGAGCGGGGCAGTGCGGTAGGGGAAGAGGCGGTAGAAGGGCACGGACTCGTCAAAAGTGACGTCCTGAGAGGGGAAGACTCGGTGCGAGGCGGGGTGGTAAAACTGCCAGCCAGACGCATCCGGGACAAAGCCAAGAAAGACACAGGGAGCAGTGCGGGAGGAGAGCTTGTCCGCAGACGTGTCGCGAACAAAAGCTCGGGATCCCCAGACACGGAAGCGTGACGCATCGCCAACCTCCCCCGTCCACAGCAGTGTGGGCGAGGTCTCCGGAGCGGAGACACGGGGCCAGAGGTTGAGCTGATGCGCAGCGTACCGGACCGCAAACGGCCACAGAAAGTGGGGGGCAGCCGCGTGGACTAAGGAGGTACGAGCGACCTCCATGACCAAGCCAATGCGGCGCTCAGCAACCCCATTCTGCTGTGGAGAGGCCGGAAGCGTGAACGACTGGCGAATGCCGTGCTCGGCACAGTAGGCTGCCAAGAGGTCGGAGGAGAACTCGCCACCTCTGTTAGAGTGCAAGTGCAGGACAGGAAACTCCGAGCGAAAACGCTCTCGCAGCTGAAGACGTGATGTGCTGATCCAAGGGATCAGGACATCAGGGACTTCACCCTTGGTGCGCAAGGGGAAGACCGTGGTGTAGCGCGAGTAGTCGTCAACGACGATCAAGAAGTACCTCTCCTGGCCCTGACCACGGACGCGGGCTGGGCCCCACACGTCCATGTGGAGCGTGTGCAAAGGAGCAGTCGTCGGGGGGAACGAGGAGGAGTGAGGGGCAGCGCGCTGCCGCCCCTTGACACAGGGAAGACAAGGAGGAGCAAGGGAGGGTGGGAGGGGAGGGAGTACCCGAGGAAGACCAGAGACAAGGTACCGGGCGTGCATGCCCCGAAGGCGCTGCACTGACGGGTGACCAAGTCGGTGGTGCCAGAGGACAGTCTTGTGCGCTAGAGAGCGACACGAGCAGGGGGCAGAGAGCTGACCTGACGCAGACGCAGACGCAGACGCCGCTACCTGAGGGGACTCAGTGGTCAGTGTGTACAGGTCCGACCCCGGCTGCCGCGTGAAGGTAGCCAGGTGACGGCCCGTCCGAGCACATGTGCAGTGTGTCACACGCTCGTAGGCAGGGGTGAACTGGTGAACACCCCCATCCTGAAGCGCACAGCCCGCCACCAAGTTCGTAGAGAACGAGGGGAGGTGGAGACCTGACAGTGTGCCCGACGGGACAGCAGGACAAGGAAGGAGGGTGGAGGAGGTCGCAATGACCGGACCCCCAGAGGGGTCAGCGAGCGAGACAGCAACTGGTCGAGCAAGGGGCTCAAGAGCAGTGCGGTCACGAAAGAAACAGCGCGAAGCGCCTGAGTCTAGAGTGAAGGTGTGCAGTGCCTCAGTGGACTCAGTAGCACCTGGGGTGGCGGACACACACGCACCTAGAGCAGTAGCCTCACCAGTACCTGGGGCAGCAGACACGCAAGTACCTAGGGCGGCAGCCTCACTCGTGCGGATGCCTGGGTCAGGCGGAACACTCAGGTACTGGTCCTCCTCTCCACTAATAGTCAATGCATACATTGCTTTGAGAATAACATCAAAATCAAGAGCATAGATATCGATATCCTTCTTGAGGAGATCAGCCCACTGAGGGAGCTCAGGAGCGTCAGGAAACTGAGCACGCCAAGCGTCATCTAGGCGAGAGAAGCAGCGCTGCGAAGTGTGCGCCCTCCCGCACGTCTGTCCCTTGCGGCGACCAGTGCGGATGACGTACGTGCAGCTAAGGCTACCCCCCCCACCCCCGTGCTGTAAGTACCACTCACGAAGCTCCTGGGAGGACTGAGGGTGCTGCGCACTCTGGCCAGTGCCAGAGCCTCCACGACCACCACCGCCGCCTCCACCACGACCACCACCGCCCCTGCCGCCGCCACGTCCACTGCCGCCACCACCACCGCCCCCACCGCGGCCACCGCCGCCGCCGCTGCCTCCACCACCCCCACCGCTGCCACTAGCCCCTCCAGCCCCGCCACCGCCCCCGCCGCTGCCACCACCCCCACCACCACCTCCCCCGCCGTCACCCCCACCGCCCTTGCCTCCCCTGCCCTTGCCGCTGCGGCGCCCGCTGGGAGCGGACGCAGAGCCGACCTGCTCAGCACCAAGAAGGTCGACAGCAGCAGCAGAGGCGACAGAGGGGAGGAGGGGGGAGGGGGAACACCCCTCGAAGAAAGGGGTGCGGGGGTCGCCACGAGAGGCACCTACAGCTACAATACTCTTCTCAGCTGCAAGTAGTTCCTTCTCGAGGGCGGCAATGGTGAGCTCAGTGGGACAGCGAGCTAGGAAGTGGTCCCTGACTGTACGCAGAGTGTCAGGGAGGCGGGTGACTAGGTGGTAGAGAGTGAGCCAGAGCGGGGGAGGGTTGGAGGCAAGAAACTCAGCGGGCATGGCTGCACGGAAGCGGGCATCACTAGTACGGAGGTGAGTGATGAGGTCAGCGACTGTCTGGAAAGCGGACAGGTCGGGGAACAGGTAGGGAAGGGAGAGACGGCCTAGTGCAGCTGAGGCCGGGGAGGAGTAGCGCGCAACTACAGCAGTGTACAGGGCCTGCGCAGTCTGATGCTGGCCGAAGTGCTCACGCTCATCGACTGGCAGGGAGTTGCGAATGGCAAAGCGGGCGTGGGCATCGCGAGTCTGCCACTGCGAGCGAGCAGTAGCGGTAGCAGTAGTAGCAGGAGCAGGGACTGTGCATAGTGCGTGATCGTACAGCGAGATATCCTCTCTAGCAGTGAGCTGGAGGAACAGGTGCAGATCATCGAGCCAGGTATCAAACTTAATCGGGCGGCCCTCAGAATCGAACGAGAGAACTGTAGGGCTAGCCATAGTGGAAGTAGCAGTAGCAGCAGTGGTGGTAGTAGCAGTAGCAGTAGCAGTGCTGTGCACAGGTAAGTAGGGCGCGGCTCGGCTGGGGCGGCGCGGCTCGGCTAGGGCGGCGCGACTCGGCTAGGGCGGCGCGACTCGGCTAGGGCGGCGCGGCTCGGCTGGGGCGGCGCGGCTCGGTTGGGTCGCGCCTTGCGGCTCGGTCGTAGGGGGGGGGGGGCGAGCGCGGGAGGGCCGGTCGGGGGCCGTGAGAGGCTAGCGCGGGGCCTGCAGGGGACGTGGGAGGCTAGCGTGGGGCCTTAAGGGGCCGTGAGAGGCTAGCGCGAGGCCGACGGGGGCCTTAGGAGACTAGCGCGGGGCCGATCGGGGGCCTTAGGAGGCTAGCGCGGGGCTAGCGTGGGGCCGACGGGGGCTTAGGAGGCTAGCGCGGGGCCGACGGGGGCCTGAGGAGGCTAGCGCGGGGCCGACGGGGGCCTTAGGAGGCTAGCGCGGGGCTAGCGTGGGGCCGACGGGGGCTTAGGAGGCTAGCGCGGGGCCGATCGGGGGCCGTAGGAGGCTAGCGCGGGGCTAGCGTGGGGCCGACGGGGGCCTTAGGAGGTTAGCGCGGGGCCGATCGGGGGCCGTGAGAGGCTAGCGCGGGGCCATACGGGGCCTTGAGAAGGAGGCGCTCGAGGCGCAGGAGAAAAAGAACGGCGGCGCACGAGGGCGCGGCTAGCGGAAACGGTGGGCCCTATCGTTTCGGTCCTAGGTGGAACCTAGGCTCGTAATACCATGTCAGAATGAGAAACGAGAATGATGAGTGACTAGCAGGAACAACAGTACAAATATGTCAAACCCTAATCTGGTGTACCCCTTATGGTGTGACCCACTACAGCCTAGAACCACACAAACATATAAATGTTTGACAGATCGTTTAGCTCCACGAACGCGGGTAGAAGTCCAAGATGGCAGCGGTGGTCCTCTTGTAGGTGATGATTGCATTCCTGATTTGGGAGAAAAAAAGGATTACTGACGGGATGAGACTCTATATGCCACCAAAGGAATTGAGGTGAACGGGGGTGCGCTCACCTGCAAGCTGGCCGTGGCATGGAATCAGCATGTGATTAGTCTTGCTGGTGCGCTCAAGACTCTAGCGCACACCCATCTGACGCACAAGAGATGGTGGTATTATGGGTGATAAGTTTGGAGCCATCTTCTGGAGAGGATCTAGATACGAAGGTAGGGTAATAGCACTATAGTAGCGATGGAACGAATATATACTCACTGTGGTGACCTATTGGGAGTCCTACACGAGTCGCGCTTGTATCCTCTCTTGACACTTCTGAGAATGCATCCAGCCTTCTATGGCAGAGGCATTCGATGCACTGGCCGAAGCGCATTTGAAAATTCAGGCTGCTGGACGGATTAAGATGTGCTAGCAGAGGCGACTTCATTTAAGCAAAGTCTAGCTGTCCTGGCAGAGGCAACTCCATTTAAGCAGAGTCTAGCTGTGCTGGTAGAGGCATCTCCTGCCTGCAAAGTCTATCTGTGCTGGTAGAGGCACCTCCATTTAAGCAGTCTAGCTGTGCTGGCAGAGGCGGCTCCTTAAGTGAGAGGATTTTGAGGTTCGGGATCAAGCCTACCTTTGAGGTACTGAAGAGCCTGGCTCCGTTTGGGTGTGACTAACCTAGAAATGGCGAGTTCAAAATTTGAAGATTCAAACTTCGACCTCCAGACTCAACCACCCAGGAGCAACGCCTCACATGACCAAACCCTAGTGCTATGCTGTTGCTTCGCACTGCAGAAAGTCCTGTGAGGGGGAGGGTTCGAAATGGTGACAATATCACAAGCACAGTGTCAAGAATGAGTGACAAGATCGAGTGGAATGAGGATCCTCCCACGTGGGAGGGAATTCTGACGGTACTGCTCAACAAATGTGGCGTTGTACAGCTCCACTCTGACAACACAGCAAAATTGGTAAGTCGCGACCCGCCGAAGTTGGGTAGACTTACAGTCGAGCAGAAATGTGTTGAGTTTATACATTTTTGTGAAACTTTACAATAATTTATAGCACATTACTATAAAATCTGCATCTTGCAATGTAGAAAATGCATGACACATTAGGAGGTAAGGCGTGGGCAGATAACAACGGATGGTAAGATAGTTACGCACCAAACAAAACGCATGGAATGTTGCCACTGAGTTATTGGAAATACTAGGAGCTGCAACGTTAATGGAGACTGCTATTATAAAGGTATGATCCTGTTTGAAGTTAGGCCACATCAACGCACAAGTTCAGAGCAGGCAGCTCATACCTAGAGTCTTAACAAAGTCTACAAAGCTGCCATACCAACCTGAATGTCACAGTACTAGCTGGTTAACTAACTACTTACCACTTCAGCTCATTCCACAGAAACCTAGCACCCATGCCTTTAAAATCTGCCTCGAGAGGAAACACGTGAAGCACTCTGAGTATGCTGCCCACATGTACCACCCCATATCCCTGGTCACTAGGCCACCACTTCAGTGTTGTCAGGTCGACAGTGTTTGAGCTCGGAAGTGCCTTATAGTAGCGCACAAATGCTACTTGATCCGCCATCTTTTCCTCTCGTGTGTACTCGTCACCTGTCCGTGCATCAACACTTGTCCATGAGAGAGTCTTGTGCAAAGTGAAGATCAGAAACACCTTAGCTGGCCACATGACGGACTCCCCCGTAGTCTCAACGCCCCCAACCATGACATCTGAGAACCAAGAATGGCCGTGGAATAGAGGAGCTGCCCGTGCATATGCTGGGTACTTGCTATATCTAGTGAAATCCTCATCAGGAGGAATAGCAATACCTTGGTGAATATCAATCACGTGTGACCACGTCACTGTACACCCAGTTGGGTGTTCTTGCTGCCTCTGAAATGCAAGAATGCTTTCCCTCAGCAGATGAAAATCACCTGGAACTGTGTCGGCATACTCCTTCCACACCCTTGTACGTCGGTCAGTTGGATCTATCTTCGCAACCTTGCCTGTCACAGCCGGGGACCCTGTCTCCAGAGCTTGCTTCATTGCAACACTACGTGCCTCCTTGTCTTCTACTTTATCATCGGTTGCAGTCATGAAGTCTACAAGTTCGTTTGTCAAGCAGCGGCGGGTGATTGAGGCTTTGGCATTATGATGATTTGAGGCACGATATGGTCGCTTCATGATGGAGATGTGCACATGCTCATAGAGATCAGTACAGTAGTGGACCGGCACACCTGCACGACGAATGTCATCGGCCACATGGAGCATTGCATGCACCTTTGGGACGTTGAAGTCTGATTTCTGATGAGAGCCAAAGTGTTTCATCAGGCGAGGGACCAACCTGGTTCGGGATTCATATGGTTGTGACAAAATGTAGGACATGGGCGGATGGATTAAAAAATAGAAACCTCTACTTGACGTCAAGCAACAAGGCCTGCTGACTGCCCACAATTTCCAGCCTGACACCAACACATGCTCATTTGCCTCCTATGATGAGATCTGGCTGCAAGGTACAAGCAGGGAGTTGGCGGGGGGAGATGGGTGCAGGAAGTTCAAAAAAGGTTTAGCGGGTTTATGTCCTCCCTCCGTAATCCCAGATTCTCCCCTGCCTCTTTTGTGCCTCCTAACTCCTTTGTCTCTACTTCGCACATGCTTCTGGTCTGGTCGGCAAGGACATGGAAGCTGAATTTGAGGGTAAATCTGGTTATGGAAGGAACCCTAACCCCTCGCGCACACCAATCATGAAGTTCAGCCGCACGAGCTTGAAGAGGAAACATGACGGGAAAGGAGGTACAGGGTGACTGTGAGATTGAAATCAGAGAGTTTGCATTCCGAGAGAGTGAGATCAGAGAGATTGAATTCAGTGAGATCGACATCAGAGAGATTTAAATCAGAAAGATGAAAATCAGTGGGATTGAAATCAGAGAGATTGCAATAAGTGAGATTGAAATAAGTGAGATTGAAATCAGTGAGGTTGAAATCAGTGAGATTGAAATCAGTGAGATTGAAATCAGTGAGATTGAAATCAGTGAGATTGAAATCAGTGAGATTGAAATCAGTGAGATTGAAATCAGTGCGATTGAAATCAGTGAGATTGAAATCAGTGAGATTGAAATCAGTGAGATTGAAATCAGTGAGATTGAAATCAGTGAGATTTAAATCAGTGAGATTTAAATCAGTGAGATTTAAATCAGTGAGATTGAAATCAGTGAGATTGAAATCAGTGAGATATATATATCAGTGAGATTGAAATCAGTGAGATTTAAATCAGTGAGAATTAAATCAGAGAGATCGAGATAACTGAGAGTGGATTCAGTGAACTCGTAAACATTGGGATCAAATGCATTGAGAGTGAGATTAGTGAGATCAAAAGCAGTAATGGTGAAATCGGTGAGTTATAAAGCTGTGAGAGTGAAATCAGTAGGATCAAAACCAGTGGTGGTGACATCAGTGCATGAGAGTAGAATCAGTGGGATCAGAAGCAGGGAGAGTGGAATCAGTGGGATCAAAAGCAGGGAGAGTGGAATCAGTGGGATCAAAAGCAGGGAGAGTAGAATCAGTGGGATCAAAAACAGGGAGAGTAGAATCAGTGGGATCAAAAGCAGGTGGAGTAGAATCAGTGGGATCAAAAGCAGGGAGAGTGGAATCAGTGGGATCAAAATCAGGGAGAGTGGAATTAGTGGGATCAAAAACAGAGAGAGTGGAATCAGTGGGATCAAAAGCAGGGAGAGTGGAATCAGTGGGATCAAAAGCAGGTGGAGTAGAATCAGTGGGATCAAAAGCAGGGAGAGTGGAATCAGTGGGATCAAAAGCAGGGAGAGTGGAATCAGTGGGATCAAAAGCAGGGAGATTAGAATCAGCGGGATCAAAAACAGGGAGAGTGGAATCAGTGGGATCAAAAACAGAGAGAGTGGAATCAGTGGGATCAAAAGCAGGGAGAGTAGAATCAGTGGGATCAAAAACAGGGAGAGTAGAATCAGTGGGATCAAAAGCAGGTGGATTAGAATCAGTGGGATCAAAAGCAGGGAGAGTGGAATCAGTGGGATCAAAAGCAGGGAGAGTGGAATTAGTGGGATCAAAAACAGAGAGAGTGGAATCAGTGGGATCAAAAGCAGGGAGAGTGGAATCAGTGGGATCAAAAGCAGGGAGAGTGGAATCAGTGGGATCAAAAGCAGGGAGAGTAGAATCAGTGGGATCAAAAGCAGGGAGAGTGGAATCAGTGGGATCAAAAGCAGGGAGAGCGGAATCAGTGGGATCAAAAGCAGGGAGAGTGGAATCAGTGGGATCAAAAGCAGGGAGAGTGGAATCAGTGGGATCAAAAGCAGGGAGAGTAGAATCCGTGGGATCAAAAACAGGGAGAGTAGAATCAGTGGGATCAAAAGCAGGTGGAGTAGAATCAGTGGGATCAAAAGCAGGGAGAGTGGAATCAGTGGGATCAAAAGCAGGGAGAGTGGAATCAGTGGGATCAAAAGCAGGGAGAGTAGAATCAGTGGGATCAAAAGGGGTGAGAGTGCAATCAGTGAGATCTAAAGCAGAGAGATTGAAATCAGTGGGATCAAGAGCAGTGAGAGTGCAATCATTGAGACATAGAGCAGTGAGAGTGCAATCAGCGAGATCAAGAGCGGTGAGAGTGCAATCAGTGAGATATAAAACAGAGAGATTGAAATCAGTGAAATCAAGAGCAGTGAGACGGCAATCAGTGAGATCAAGAGTAGTGTGGGGTAACAGTGATGCTCCCTGGGTTACCTGCTATAAAGGCAGGACATCAAAGGTTAAAGGGGAAATGCGATGGAAAGGGCGGTACCGGGTGTTAGTGATTCTCCTTATCCACATACATGAATCTAGCCTGCTGGTTCATGACAAACCTACTACACGACAAACAATCTACTGGATGAAACAACAAATATTGGCAAGTACACGGTTGCACAGTACCGTACTTACACACGAGCCATCTCTTGCAGATTCTTCAGTGACTTCTCAGTGTGATAGGCGCGATGCCAAGCGAGGGTATGCCACAAACAAAACAGCTCCACGGTCCTCACCCACTCTGGGTTCATGTCCTTGACGGTTGACATCAGAATGGGCAGCACCTGCATAACAGCCTGGTGCTGGAAGGCATAGAACGTGGCGTTGCCACTGAAGTATCCGTCAGTATGCGCGGGAAGACGGAAGAAGGATTGGCGGCTGTACTGGGTGGCGGTAGATAGTGCCCTGTCTAGTTGTTTGAGAGCCTCGTTTGATAGCTGCTGCTTCAAGCTATCTACAATGTGCTTGTAGAACCCCAAAGAGGACATGTGCATGATGTCCACCATCAGTTGCCTATATGGGTTGCCGAAACTTGTCTCACCAAATCGAAATCCCCACAATGCGCTCTGCAATCGTCAAGACGGAGACATGTTAGGGACGAACTAACCAAAGTACACCCCATAACGGTCACTGCAAGTTGAAAACGCTTGGCTAAACCCACTTTGACAAAATGAGTGCTGTGCTTGACCTCCAATTCTTCTATTGCCTTTTTGGTTGGGGCTAGCTGCATTTCACGGACGAGCTTCTGCTGCTCAATCTCCGTTCGATATTTCATAGGGTAAGTCATGTCACCGAGCTTTTCATTTGGAACTTTGCATTTTGGGCAGGGGAAAGCAGTTTTGATTTGGTACAAGGTTGCTGATGTTGATGCAAGGTTGCATTTTGACCTGCGGCCACAAAGCTACGCATGCTATAGCCCATGCCTGCCGTGCTAGCCCCAGCTGCTGCCCTACCCTGAATGCCGTGAAACGTATGCTGGCCCCTGCTCATGTGTGATGCTTTCAGTCGCTGAGTGGCAAATTTTGCATCACAGCCATCCTGGTCGCACTCAAACGGGAGGCTTTGTTGATCCATGTTGCTACTGCGCGATGCCGCTAAACCTGATGCTGCGAAGTTACCTGCTGCACCGCGCCACTGCGGCCTGCTGCCACCGCTTTGCTGATGCGAGCGCGCCTGCTGCTGCAAACTCATGCTGCTGCTACTGCCGCCGCTGCGCACTTGCTGCAGCTGCCAATGCTACGAAAGCACCTGATGCTGTCAACCCTGCAAACGAACCGGTTCCTGCTGTTCATGCAACGTGCTCTGATCCTTCACGCCCAAATGCCGAACGCACATGCTGCTAATGTGCACCTGATGCAACACGCGTACATGCCAATGCTGCTGCTGCTGCTATGCGCTGCTGATGGCTGTGCATCGAACACATCTGGTGCTGCTATGCGCTGCTGATGCTGATGCATCGAACACAGCTGCTGCTGCTATGCACTGCTGATGTTGATGCATCGAACACATCTGCTGCTGCTATGCACTGCTGATGCTGATGCATCGAACACAGCTGCTGCTGCTATGCGCTGCTGATGTTGATGCACCGAACACATCTGCTGCTGCTATGCGCTGCTGATGTTGATGCACCGAACACATCTGCTGCTGCTATGCGCTGCTGATGTTAATGCACCGAACACAGCTGCTGCTGCTATGCGCTGCTGATGTTGATGCACCGAACACAGCTGCTGCTGCTATGCGCTGCTGATGCTGATGCACCGAACACATCTGCTGCTGCTATGCGCTGCTGATGTTGATGCACCGAACACATCTGCTGCTGCTATGCGCTGCTGATGTTGATGCACCGAACACAGCTGCTGCTGCTATGCGCTGCTGATGCTGATGCATCGAACACAGCTGCTGCTGCTATGCACTGCTGATGTTGATGCATCGAACACATCTGCTGCTGCTATGCACTGCTGATGCTGATGCATCGAACACAGCTGCTGCTGCTATGCGCTGCTGATGTTGATGCACCGAACACATCTGCTGCTGCTATGCGCTGCTGATGTTGATGCACCGAACACATCTGCTGCTGCTATGCGCTGCTGATGTTAATGCACCGAACACAGCTGCTGCTGCTATGCGCTGCTGATGTTGATGCACCGAACACAGCTGCTGCTGCTATGCGCTGCTGATGCTGATGCACCGAACACATCTGCTGCTGCTATGCGCTGCTGATGTCGATGCACCGAACACATCTGCTGCTGCTATGCGCTGCTGATGTTGATGCACCGAACACAGCTGCTGCTGCTATGCGCTGCTGATGTTAATGCACCGAACACAGCTGCTGCTGCTATGCGCTGCTGATGCTGATGCACCGAACACATCTGCTGCTGCTATGCGCTACTAATGTTGATGCACCGAACACAGCTGCTGCTGCTATGCGCTGCTGATGTTGATGCACCGAACACAGCTGCTGCTGCTATGCGCTGCTGATGTTGATGTACCGAACACAGCTGCTGCTGCTATGCGCTGCTGATGTTGATGCACCGAACACAGCTGCTGCTGCTGCTATGCGCTGCTGATGCTGATGCACCGAACACATCTGCTGCTGCTATGCGCTGCTGATGTTGATGCACCGAACACATCTGTTGCTGCTATGCGCTGCTGATGTTGATGCACCGAACACAGCTGCTGCTGCTATGCACTGCTGATGTTGATGCACCGAACACATCTGCTGCTGCTATGCGCTGCTGATGTTGATGCACCGAACACAGTTGCTGCTGCTATGTGTTGCTGATGCCGATGTAACAAACACATCTGCTGCTGCTATGCGTAGCTGCTAACGCTAGGCCCGAAAGACTTCTGAAGCACCTGCTACTGCCGCAGCTCCTATCGCCTCTGCTGCTGCCCGTTTCTGCTACTGCTGATGCTGCGAATGCACCTCCTGATGCGATCCCACCTGCTGTGCGCCGCTGCTTCTAGCACGCTCCGGTGCTTTACGCGCACATCCCGCTGCCGCTGCTCCAAACGCCCCTGCAAATGCGCGTTGCTGCTACTGCTGATGCTGCGAATGCACCTGCTGATGCGATCCCACCTGCTGCGCGCCGCTGCTGCTAGCGCGCTCCGGTGCTTTACGCGCACATCCCGCTGCCTCTGCTCCAAACGCCCCTGCAGATGCGCGTTGCTGCTACTGCTGATGCTGCGAATGCAGCTGCTGATGCGATCCCACCTGCTGCGCGCCGCTGCTGCTAGCGCGCTCCGATGCCTTACGCGCACATCCCGATGCCGCTGCTCCTAACGCCCCTGCAGATGCGCGTTGCTGCTACTGCTGATGCTGCGAATGCACCTCTTGATGCGATCCCACCTGCTGCGCGCCGCTGCTGCTAGCGCGCTCCGGTGCTTTACGCACACATCCCGCTGCCGCTGCTCCTAACGCCCTTGCAGATGCGCGTTTCTGCTACAGCGGATGCTGCGAAAGCACCTGTTGATGCGATCCCAGCTGCTGCTCGCCGCTGCCTGCTCGCGCACGTCCTGCTGCCGCTTCTCCTAACGCCCCTGCTGCAGCGCCCTGCTGCTGCTGCAGACGATGCTGCGAATGCACCTGCTAATGCGATCAGGTTGCTGCGCGCTGCTGCTTCAAGCACGCTGCGGTGTCTCACGCACACCATGCTGCTGCCTCTGCTCCTACTGCTGCGATGTGCTGCTGCCCACCCGCTCATACGCTTCTAGCGCGCACCGCTACTACCTGCGGATGCCGCAAGCGCACCTACGCGCTCATGTGCTCCAAGTGCGCGCCTGCTTATCTAAACATCTATTTGTGCTAAAACACACTGCCGTTTGTCCTATTGGTGGTCGGCTCCTCGTAGCGGGCAAGTGCAAATGATAAGATGAAGAGCGCAACTATAGAACCAACGTTTTTAAATCTAGGAAAGCGGTTGTTGAGTAAGCTAAATTCCGAGCCGCGTATTTCTCACAGCAGCAGGATAAACTAGTCGGGAGGGAGTGAATTGAGCTAATGCTCCTCTGTGATTGCCAAAGTGAGTTTCCAATTTTCGCGCCAAACCACGCCCAGCATCCAAACTGACATGTTCCTGGCCTGACGAATGGCATCCATACACCAGTGAGAGATGAGTGCCCTAACGAATCCGAAATGCATTTCGTTACATTGTGCAGTATGCGCAGAAGGTTGAACAACCCTAAGCGAGGAACGCAATCCATACATAGTATCGAGGTTCACATTAAACTGTACATAGTCGATTTTGTAATCAGCTCAGAAACATAACATTCACTGTCTCAACAATGTCGAGGTGTTTCTTAACCCGAACAAAACCGCTGGTTCTCGAGCCGCCACTGGAGCAACTTTCCCAACCTGCGGAAGTTGCCTGTGTCACTCGTCCAAATCTCTCGCAACTGGCGTTGGGAAGGAAACTTGAAAACCTAAACCTGCTGAGACTGAAAAGCGAGTGATGCGCGACATGCCAAGCTCGGAAGTTGCAAGTAGCACGTTTTCAACATCTATTCCGCGAGGCCAACAATTGCGATGTGTTGGATACATTTTGTATAAATTTCAGTCACATGTATGTGTCAGAAGTTAGAAGAAAGAAAGAGGATTGAACTAGCAAGAATGAGGATACAAATAGCAAACCCTAGAAGGGTTGTACTCGCTATAGAGCACCCCACTACAGGCTAGAACAATAAGATAATATTCTGACACACCCCCATAGCCAAAGTGGGGTGTAATCAGCAGAGCAGGCAAAACAGTACAAGCTCAGGGTGGATCACAATGTCACCACGCATTCTGAGCACAAGGTCAAGAAGAAATAGTTTAGAGTTCACAATTATAAGCAAAGCTAGTGGTAGTCACAACGGGCAAGTGAGGAGGAGGAGGGAGAGTGAGGGGAGAGGAGACAGGAGGCGACGGCTGAAGCTGCAGACACACGGGCAACAGGAGGCAGACTGGCACAGCGGCTACCGGACAGCGCCCGGACTACAGGAGTAACAGGCCCCGCGGCTCAAATAGCGGCGGACGGGCAACGGACCCACGGGCGGCTGGCACAGCTGGCTACGACTGGGCTACCGGGACAGCGCCCCGGACTACAGGTGCTGCTGACGACAAACTGGCAACCTCCGCTCATCCTCCCGCACACAGTCCCACCCCCCTGATACACACCCACTGCTACACCACTAGCTCTACTCCCACGCACCCCCCTAAAACCCTAAACCCAGTCTCCCACACAACCACCCCCCTCAGCGATAGCTGCAGCAG